ATTTCGTCCCCCGAATCCCCCGACTGCCCAAAATGACATTGTTTTGGGCAGTTTTTGTTTTTTTTTTTTTCTTTATGCAGTCTGAAAATGGAGGGGAAAAGGGAGAGAAGAGAAAGAGGGAGAGAAGAGAGGAGAAGAGAAGAGAGGAGAGGAGAAAGAGGAGGGGAAGATCGCTGTCGCAGCTCGTCGGCCGCAGCTCGTCTCTGATCGTCGCAGCTCGGCCGATCGTCTCTGCCCCGCCTCCGCCTCTGCCTCTGCTCCCTTCCCAACCCGATTGATGTTGGCCCCTCTTCTCCTTCTTCTTCCTTCTCTTTTTCTTCCTTCTTCTTCTTCCTTCTTCTGTTCAAATTCGGGCGATTTGGGGGGAGGACTTTTCGAGCTACATATCACAGCTCAATATTGAAACTATTACTTTCGTAGATTAAATAAGTTTAAAAATTAAATAAACTATAAAAACAAATTGTGATTTTTTTTTTTCACATTTATTAGACTAGACTACATTAACTTGATTATTAAATAAGTATAAGGCTTAAATAGAAAAATTAGAAGTTTAAAAGTCACATTAAATAGAAGCAATATAACATATACAAGTTTTAGGCACCATTTTTGTTGTTTCTAAAAATAAAAATTTTGTTGCAAAAACATTAGGATACCAATTATTGTCAACACTAAAAGGTCGCCATAAAAATTCAAAAAAAACGACTTTTGTCACAATTTTTAAAAATATCACTAATAAATGCATTTTTAAAAACAAAATAACATTGTTCCAAAAGATTTATCTTTTCAAATGAAAATTTTGATGCCCAAAATGATAATTTATTACTAAATATCTAATTTTGTACTAAGAATACAATAATGACACTTTTGATAACTAAAATATTATTCTTCAAAAATGATTTTGCCCCTAAATTTTTATCTGCTATTTTTTTAAAGAGACAAACTATAGGAATGAAAAGTGTAATTAAACTACATATAAAAAAAATTAGTTCATCTTGTATACACACAACGTATGTTTATGGCTTATTTTGGGAAGATGGTAAAAAGTAGCTTTTTGACTTTTAACCAATCTTTTGACTTTTTTAGACAAATGATTTGGGAAGTTGGTAAAAAGTGACTTTTGACTTTTTTTTTATTAATGTTTGTTTATGATGTCAAATCATAATAAAATGACCAAACTACTCCCATTTATTTAAAATATTTACAACTTCACCTATGTAACACATTTTGACCCATGAGGGTAAAATTGTAATTTCACCATTGGCTAAAAACCAACTTCCCAGATGAAAAAAAAAAAGGACAAAAAAGCCAATTTTTGGCTTTTGCTACAAACCAAAAAAAGTGGCTAAAAACCAACTTCCATCATATGTTTGGAATACATTTTTTTTTTAATACTTAGTGATTTTTTTCTAAATTATGTTAAAATTTCTAAAATGTTAAAAGATATTTTTTTAAAAAGTTAAAAAGTTATTTTTTGAAAAAATTATTTTAAAATTTATTTATTAAAAATTTGAATTTTTTTTTAATTTTTTTTAATTTTAGCGATTTTTTAAAAATTGTAGACGAATTAAAAAAGTAAAAAAAATAAATCAAAAAATAAATATATTTTTTGAAATGTATTTCCACACCTTGATTTGAGTGCTGTATTTGGTTAGAATTTTTAAAAATTGATTCCACACTCAATTTTGAAAACATGTCTACTCGATCATCCTCCTGGATGTCCCCCCAGTCGTCCGACCAATTGATTGGAATAGTGTTTTTTTTTTTTGGCATTTGTTATTTTTATATTTTAAATAAAAAATATTTTCGGAATATTTTTTAAATTTTTATGAGTTTTGAATAGAATTTTGAGTTATGTGTTTGGTTATAAATTGCAAGTTTTTAAAACAAATATCATATGTCATTTCAAAATTTTCAAACTCAATTCAAAACTCATAACCAAATAAATTTTTCACACCCAAATCATAATTCCAAAACTCACTAACTTAAAATACAACTATATTCTCAAATCATAACCAAACACTACCTAACTTTTTCTTAATTTTGTTGTCCTTTCTAAACTTTTTTCAAAATTTTTAATTATGATTGAGTATAATCCAAAAGTGTAATAATTTTTGAATGTTTCTTTTAAAACTAAATAAAAAAAAAATTTAAAAATCAACAAAAAAAATTACAGTACATGAGTTTTGGAAAGAGTTTCAATTGAGTGATGTAACATAAGATATTGAAAAGTGGATATTTTGAAAAGTGAGTGTGAAATTATTTTTTTCAAAAATGATCCGTAGCTCGAATATTGTGGGCTCGAATGGCTCGAAAGTACAAATATACCACCTTCAACAAATTAACTCTCACCTCTCTCACTCTCGCCTTAGCCGTCTCACCTCTCGCATTATTCCTCTGATTCACTCACTCTTGCCTCACCCCTCTCACCTCTCTCGTATCATCCCTCTTATTCAGTTACTCTAGCCTTTCTCTCCTTTCTATATCTTTACTCTCGCCTCTCTCACCTGTCTCTTGAAGGAGTACGAAGGACGACGATACGGTGGACAAAAGAGGACGAGACGGTGGACGAACAACGTGAGAGGACGACGAAGGACGAACGACAACCTGCAATCTGAGGTAAACCTAAAATCAAAAAATTAGGGTTTACGTTTGGCTTCAATTTTTGTAGAAATAAGTTGATTTAGAGTGTTTGGGGTTGGATTTTGCTTGCAGTTTGTGTTAGGGTTTGGGATTTGGCTTTAATTTGTGATGGGTTAGGGTTTGGGATTTTGCTTGCAATTTGTGTTAGGGTTAGGATTAGGGTTAGGGTTTTGCTTGAAATACACCTCTTGATGAGTTTGGTTATGCAAAATATACCTGTTATCAAGAATGAACTATGTTATCAAGATTAACCTGGTTAACCTGGTGGTGTGCCTAATTTAAGGTTGAACTCTGTTATGAATTAATTTTTAATCTTGATGAAATGTTCCTGAACTTCATTAAATGTTCTTATGTTAAATCATTTCAAAATTAATTCAATGAATAATTCAATGTTGTGTGTGTGAAAAACAGATTGAACTCTGTTATCTTAATTTAACAGATTGAACAGAGTTCTGTGAAAAATTAATTTAAGATTAACATGTTAACCAAATTAATTCAAGATTGAGTTCTGTTATGAAGATTAACCAGGTTAACTCAACATATCAAGATTGAACTATGTTATCAAAATTAATTCAAGATTAACCTTTAACAGATTGAACAGAGTTCTATAAAAAAATTAATTCAAGATTAACATGTTAACCAAAATTAATTCAAGATTGAACTCTGTTATGAAGATTAACTTGGTTAATTCAGCATATCAAGATTGAACTATGTTATCAAAATTAATTCAAGATTAACCTGATAAGAGAGTTCAATCTTGAACGCATCTGTCTCTATTTTAAACAGATTCAACTGTGTAATCAAGATTGAACTCTTTAAACAAATCTATTATGAAGATTAAACTTCAACATCATTTTCTACTAATAATAGGAAGATTAAAAAAAATGGAAGAAGAGCTTGGTAGGTAGTTGAATCATCATCTTCTACTAATAGGTAGTTGAATCTGTTGGTAAGTAGTTCAATCATCATCTTATAGTAATAGGTAGTTGAATCATCATCTTCTACTAATAGGTAGAACAGCATGGAAGATAAAAAAAAAATAGAAAGAACATCATCTTCTACTAATAGGTAGTTGAATCTGTTGGTACTTTTTTTTACAGATAAAAAAATGGCTTCATCTTCTACTAATAATAGGAACATAAGATTAAAGCCAAGATTGTGTAATTGTGGAAGAACAGCTTCTATGCATATTGTACGAACCAATGAGAATGGGAATGAAGGATGTGTGTTTTTTGTTTGCCCAACAAAATATGTAAGTATTTGTTATGTAAATTAATCTTTTACTTTATTTGTCATTTATTCATTAACTGATTCTTGTGCATTGTAGAGCACGAACGAACACTGCAATTACTTCAGGTTCGCAGATGATAATGACGACGACGTTACCTCCACAATCCGTGCCAATGCTGGACCTCGGACAGATTCAAGAACAGAAGAAATTAATGATCTAAGGAAAAGGCTTGGTGAGGTGGACAATGCAGTTCATGAGCATGACAGAAGGCTTCAAAGAATGGAGAAGATTTTGAAGACAATGACTTATGTCATTGTATTTTGTGTATTTTTTTACTTTATCATGTAAATGAATCAGTTGTTAGGTTTTCGACAATGTTATGAATGTAATCATTACTTCTTTTGTATTTTATTTTGTATTTTGTAATCAATATTGCCTACCATCTTTATTTTGTATTTTGGAATGAATGTGAATGTATTTTATTTTACTTTATCATGTTGTGAATGTGATTTGGATATCAATGTTTATAGATTCTGAAATCTGTTGGCTTGAATGAGAAGCATTGATAGACTAATAGAAAGTTATTGATGATGGCTTGAATGAGAAGTGTACACACAGGTTTGAACAAATTCACACAGGTTTTACTCATGAGATGCATACACACAGGTTTGAACAAATTCACACAGGTTTCACTCATGAGATGCATTTGTCTCTATTGTTTTGGGTCTGTTTGAACACAGGTTTCACTCATGATATACAGGTCTCTATTGTTTTGGGTCTGTTTGAACAAATTTACACAAATTCACACAGGTTTGAACAAATTCACATAGGTTTCACTCATGAGATGTATCTATCTTCATTTTTTTGGGTCTATTTGAACACAAGTTTCACTCATGATATACAGGTCTCTATTGTTTTGGGTCTGTTTGAACAAATTCACATAGGTCTGTTTGAACAGGTTTCACTCACACAGGTTTGAACAAATTAACACAAATTCACACAGGTTTCACTCATGAGATTCATCTGTCTCCATTTTTTTGGGTCTGTTTGAACACAGGTTTACAGGTCTTTTTGAACATGTTTCAGTAACACAGGTTTGAACAAATTCACACAGTGTAATTAAATCTGTTCAATTGAACCTGTCTAGTGAACAAACAGACCAGCAAGAAATTTTAAGACCAGCAACAAAACAGACTAGTAATTGAGCCTGTGTATTGAACAAATTTTAACAACACAGTCCAATTGAACACAGTCTAATTTAACCTGTCTAATTGAACCAAACAGACATTGATCAAAGGAGACATTGAACACAGCCTATTACATTATCACCCATAAAATATAATGATGAACCTATCTACTATTTTTTTGAGGAAACATTACATATCGTCCATGATTAACCAAACATTACATATTCATCAAAGGAGGCCGCAATGTCAGAATTGATACAAGTTTAACAAATCAAAAATTACATATCGTCCACGATTAACCAAAAACACAAAGGGCCACACAATGGCCAACAATTACTAGTGCAAAACTAAAAATAAAATGGGGCATTTGGATCCAATATTGTTGGTACTGTAGAACTTTGACTGCTTATATTGTTGACCATTCTTGATTTTCTTCCAATATTGTCCGGCGGTTCCATTGTGCAAACCCATGCTTATAAAAACAAAGTACATATTACAAATTGCTTTAAAAAAAAATGACCAATACATTCATCATTACAAATGTGTACTCATATATTGAACATGTACCAGTACAGATATGTTGTCTTCTGTGCCCACCATAGAAGGAAAATAGTAAGCTTGATCGTGCGGCATCTTATGATTATATAGTAAGACAATATTATTAATAATTTGAAGCATTAACATAAAACCCAACAACAAGCAAAGTGCAATATTTTAAGTACATTCAACACATACCGGTACATACAGACTATCTTGTGTGCCAACCATAGAAGAAAAATAGTAAGCTTGATCTTCCGACACCTATCATGAAATAGTAACACAATTTCATTACTAATTGTAACCATTCAACTATAAATCCACAAAAAGCTTACGAAACAACCTATGCCAAGTATTTACCTGTGCGGGAGTAGTCTTCTTGTTCTTTCTCTTCAACCGATTAACTATTTGATCAATCTTACTAACCTTCTGCTTCGTACATGGACGGCCTCTTCGGCGAACAACCAAAGGACTAAGTACCTTGCAAGTGTTGCTTGCTTTTGTAGTATTCAAACGTGGCGGACTTTTCGGCGAAGTATAAGAAGGTGGTACAATACTAGTAGAAGGTGGTACAGTACTAGTACATGGCACATTACTCGCAGTACCCGATTCAATAGTTTTCACTTGATCCTTGATTTCTCTCAACCCAAGTTGAATCACTTTGTGTTTACCATCGTCATTTGTGGCAAGTTCTAGGACCTTATCTAACGTCTTGTGATACAAATCATGCAACTTTGGATTTATAGCAGCCCCGAAATTCGTGTATGTGGTTAGAATACATGTATACCCTATTTCCAAATCTTTTCTCCATCTCGAGACAATGTATTTATTTGGCACCTCATATATAGACCTCTCAATGAGCACACTAAGTGAATGGGCACACATAATACCTCTAAACTCAAACAACCGACACATACATTAGAGCTCACATTCAGTTGAATTACAGTACACAATAAATTCTACTTTCTTCATACCCTCACCTAAAAGAATGGCCTCCCTCACATGATAGGTACAAATTGATCCCTCATCTTTTGCAAGATTCGGATGACAGTACACTAGACGCTTCATTTCTGCTTGAACTTCTTTAAATTTTGCATTTGTGTACGCTGCATGAAATTGCTTCTCAAAATGATACACCATTAGGCAATCATACAATTGGTTACTAGATTTGAAATCTGTTTTTGTCTCCTTTTCCACCTTACTTCTCAAGGCATTGTCATGTTGCTCAACAAATTGCTTTAAGGTAGTCTTCGAGTTCATTGCAAAATGCCATGAGTCAGTAGGATTCAAATCATGAGTGTGCTCAAGCACAACTGTGGTTAACTTATATCTGCCATCGTTTTGTAGACTAGCTCTGACCCTTGCTTTACAATCAATTTTTGATGACAAAGATGGTTCCAAGGGATTTATTTCTGATCTTTTTGTTTTGAACCTCGCCCGGGTACATTCAATTCCAAAATACTTCACTTTCCCATCACTTGTTAGATTTTGTGATCTAAATGCTATAGCAAATCCACAGTGGTTCGCATATTTTGCATAAAATGCGTACACTTCTTGTTTTAAGCTAAAATACATCCCCTTCTTGGGTTCTTCAACTTCACCATTTTCGTTAATATAAAGATTGTTATCATGTTGTTCAACTTCCTCACTCTCATTCAATGAATATTGTTTGAATCAATATTCATTGTAGTTTCAAAGTTAAATACAATAGACATTGTTAGCTGCAATTTCATAAGAGGCAAGTAGAATGAATTTTAATTTGCATTTGAAACAAAGGGTCAAGTAAGGACAACCATGCCATGGATGAGTAGCCACATCTCAATATGCTAATTTTTTACATTCATCTTAACAATAATCTTATAACACTGTTAATATTAGCTTAGTGAGTAAATATGATTACTAATACTAATATCAGCTCAAAGTGCAGAATTTAATGCTAAAAAAATATGATTACTAATACATATGATGAAATTTGAGATGTCAAAAATGAGGTACAGTTTAATTTGGGTCTACTCAACCAAAAATGAGATACTATTCTACCCATCTCATTGATCCCACATATCTAACCCTCTTTTTACATTGCAGTGATATCAGTCTCTTGGAACTGTCCTTTAATTTCACCAATTTGGTTAACTTTTTCTTTCAACCATTTTAATCTCACTTTATAAAGCTTCCCATTTTACATTTGATCAATAAATGAAAGTTGACAGAACACAAAATCATGCTAAGGAGCCCCCAACATTCCATGGTTTGAATTCATATTTTATTATTGATGAATAAACCAAGAACAAACAGCAGTAGCGATTTGCACACAAGCTTCGTCCAAGAAATCATATTTTATTATTGATGAATATTTTAGTAACACTGTTAATATCTGCTTAGTGAGTAAATATGATTACTAATACTAATATCAGCTCAAAGTGCAGAATTTGATGCCAAAAAAATATGATTACTAATACATATAATGAAATTTGAGATGTCAAAAATGAGGTACAGTTTAATTTGGGTCTACTCAACCAAAAATGAGATACAATTCTACCCATCTCATTGATCCCACATATCTAACCCTCTTTTTACATTGCAGTGATATTAGTCTCTTGGAACTGTCCTTTAATTTCACCAATTTGGTTAACTTTTTCTTTCAACCATTTTAATCTCGCTTTATAAAGCTTCCCATTTTACATTTGATCAATAAATGAAAGTTGACAGAACACAAAATCATGCTAAGGAGCCCCCAACATTCCATGGTTTGAATTCATATTTTATTATTGATGAATAAACCAAGAACAAACAGCAGTAGCGATTTGCACACAAGCTTCGTCCAAGAATTCATATTTTATTATTGATGAATATTTTAGTTTAGCTACCAGCCATGGCAGCAACAATCACAGAGCAATGGAAGAGGAATGACACAAGGGGAAATAAAACGCCAAGAGGAAATACCTTATCTACAACTCAGTGAATAGTCCGATTTGCACACAAGCTTCGTCCTTTCCTACTCCGATCAAACAGCAGTAGCGACGCCACAAAGAGATAGTTCCGCTAGGTTACGAATAGACTAGTTCGAAGTCAGTGGAGACTCCGATTGCTCTGCGGCACACAAACTTTCTCCTCTCCCACATCGATCAAACAACAGCAGTGACCAGACGGCTCCGCTAGGTTACGATGACACGGTGCTTAGCTTTCTTTCTACACGGTGCTCCGCTCTGGTTGTTTATTTTTTTTATTTTTTGTTTTTGAAATCAAAACAATTGTGTGTGTATCTCGCGTCGCAGAGCAGCCCATTCATCAATTCAAGCCACTCTCGAGCCTTGCCTTTCGACCTACGTAGCAGAGTCATAATTTTTTTAAAGCTGTAACCAAACAACACACTCAAATTAAGGGATACAATTAAACTTCAAAAAATCTGCCAAACAGAGCAGCTTCTGAGTTAAAGCTATAAAAGGGCAACAAAAGAAGCAAGAAAAAAAATTCATAATTACTCTCCTATAATTTTTAAAACTATTGCTAATAAATGCATTTTTAAAAACAAAATAATATTGTTCCAATAGATTTATTTTTTTTAAATGAAAATTTTGATGCCCAAAATGATAATTTATCACTAAATGTCTAATTTTGTCACTGAAAATACAATAATAACACTTTTGACAACTAAAATATTATCCTTCAAAAATGATTATCCCCCTAAATTTTTATCTGCTATTTTTTTAAAGGGACAAACCATATAGGAATGAAAAGTGTAATTAAACTATATATATATAAAAAAAAATTAGTTCATCTTATATACACACAATGTATGTTCGAACCGTCATATGTTTGGAATACATTTTTTTTTTTTAGTACTTAGTGATTTTTTTTTAAAATTATGTTAAAATTTCTAAAATGTTAAAAGATATTTTTTAAAAAATTTATTTTAAAATTTATTTATTAAAAATTTAAAAAGTTGTTTTTAATTTTTTTTTTTATTTTTAGCGATTTTTTTTTTAAAATTGACGACGAATTAAAAAAGTAAAAAAATAATATGTTTTTGAAACGTTATTCCACACCTTGGTTTGAGTGTTGTGATTGGTTAGAATTTTCCAAATTTGATTTCACAACCATTTTTGAAAACATGTCTACTCGATCATCCTTCCGGATGTCCCCCTGGTCATCCGATCAGTTGACTGGAACAGTGTTTTTTTTTACACCTGTTATTTTTATATTTTAAATAAAAAATATTTTCGAAACATATTTTAAATTTTTATGAGCTTTTGAATAGAATTTTAGATTATGTATTTGATTATAAGTTATAAGTTTTTGAATCAATCAAAAATTCCAAACTCAATTTAAAACTCATAACCAAATAAATTTTTCACACTCAAATCATAAATCCAAAACTCATAAACCTAAAATACAATTCTATTTTGAAATCATAATTTTAAAACTCTACCAAACACTACCTAACTTTTTCTTAATTTTGTTGTCCTTTCTAAACTATTTAAAAAATTTTAATTATGATCGAGTATAATCCAAAAGTGAATAATTTTTTAAAAGCTCCGTAAAAATTTAAAAAATAAAAAAAAAAATCAACAAAAAAATTACAATACATGAATTAACGTTTAAAATTATTATTTGTTAAGTCAATTTTGAATTTTAAAACATGTGTTTTAAGTGTTTTCTATATCAAAAAAAGATATACTGATGTAATTATTTTTAAAACAACAATGATTCATCCTCCTTTTTTCCCTCACCTCTTTTGACCCCCTCTCTCTCTCATTGACTATATTTTCTTTTTCTTTTTCTTTTTTTTCTTGTTCCTCCAATCACCACCCGCCACGTGACAAAGGGGTGAGGGGTGACTTCCAAAATGATCCTAAGCATTATTCTTTTTAAAATAAGCATAACTTTTGAGCCAAAGCTATAAAAGGGCAACAAAAGAAGCAAGAAAAGAAAGAGCTAACTTGGCACTTCAAATATCGAAGCCATGGAGTGGAGTTGGAGCTTGCTTCCCTATTCCATCATCATTTCATCCACCACCTTCCTCCTCCTCCTCCTCCACGTTCTCCGCCGCCAAAAACCGATCTCTGGCAGGCTACCACCACCGGGACCACCAGGGTGGCCGGTATTCGGTAACATGTTTGATTTCGGGACAACGCCACACAGAACGGTAGCCGAACTTAAAAAAAAGTACGGCCCAGTCGTATGGATCCGACTAGGTTCCGTAAACACCATGGTAATCCTCACCGCCAACGCCGCCACGGAGCTTTTCAAAAATTACGACCAGTCCTTCGCAGACCGACACCCCCCAACTGTCTTGGGGTCGCACAACTTCATCCAAGGGTCCTTTGCCTTCGCTCCTTACAGCGCGTATTGGCGCGTGATGAAGCGACTAATCAACATGAAAATCAAGGTCGCTAATAAGATGAATGAAACAGCACCCACCAGGCGAAAATCTGTCGACGACATGTTGTCGTGGATAGAAAAAGAAGCGGGGAAATTGCGTGGGAAACGAGCAATCATGGTTGCTCATTTCGTGTTCCACGCGTCCGCTAACATGGTGGGAAACCTTATGGTTTCCAGGGACGTGGCAGGTCCGGTGTCAGAAATGGGGTTGGAGTTTTTGTCAGCCATGATGGAGATACTGAAGTTGATTCATAAACCAAACATGGCTGACTTATTTCCATGGTTCAGATGGCTCGACCCACAAGGTCTGAGGAGGAAGATGGACCATGAGCTTGGGAAGATCTTGGCAATTATTTCTGGGTTCGTGAAGGAGAGGATGAAAGAGCGGCGAGAAGGAGGAGAGAGGAGGAAGGACCTCTTGGAAGTGTTGCTGGACTTTGAGGGGACTGGAGGAAAGGATGAACCAGATAAATTATCAGAGCATCAGATCAGCGGAGTCATAGTGGTAATCAACTATATATATATACATATTTGCGATAACCGAGCCCAACGAAACTAACAGTTGACTATTTGATTGGTTTGAAAGTTTTAACGAATTTTCAAATTTATTTAAATTTAATTTATTAAACTTTTAAATCAATCTTAAATTAATATTTGGTCTAGCCAAGTTCAACTAGTTTGGTATTTTTATATAATTTTAAACTTATCAAACCAAATTGAACAAATAATTAGTCGTTTCAAGATTGGTTTAAAAATTTTAATGAGTTTCAAAATATGTTCAAACTTAACTTGCTTACCTAATGAACTGGGCTCAAACAAGATTTTAACGAGCTAAACACAAATTGAGCTTAAACTACTTGATTCGTTTATCACCCCTATATATTTCAAACCTTCAGCCCATCAGAAAATTATATCGATAGTCCTTACATTTTATCACTTATATCATTTTGGTCTTTGTACTTTCAATTGGTTCAGTTTTAACTCTTAATTTAAGATTTTGCATTCATTTGGCCTAATTCATAACGATGCTAGGATTTTTGATGAAAAATAATTAATGAGTTGATTGATGTTAAATCACTTAATTGATTAAATTTACAATTTTTTTCTAAAAAATACAATGCATGCCGCTTATATATGTATTTTTCATAATAAAAAAAAATTGGTAACAATTGAAATCAACTGGACCAATTTATTTGAGACAGTAAAAAAATTCAAGATCAAAATCGAGCTAATGTAAATTATAGAAACAAAAATCACACAATAGTTAAAGTATAGAGAATAGCGATATAATTTGCCCATCAATAACTCTATAAACACAAAAATCAATCACGAAATTGAATTCAAAATGAAGAAAACAATCTTTTAAATTGATTTTCACTTTTATATCTTGTAAAATTATATATATTGTTGTATTCTATATTTAATTTTTATACTTCTAACTTAGGAATGGTAGCGGAGCAGGTTTGGCATTTCCTGCCTCATCCCATATCATATCGGGACAGGATAAATTGGCAATGTCGGAGGCGGGGCAGGGGCGTAGTGAGGGCAGGTTAATTTCGTAGTGTTAAAATAGAAAAACTTATAAAAATTAAAGGTGATATGATATGTTATAGATAATAATTTATAATTAATGAAAATTAAAAGATATAATGGTTTCGTTTGGGAAGTTGAGTATTTTAGTATGCTATTTTAATTTTTGACTATTTTAATAAGTTAAAATATTTGTATTTGAAAAGAATGTTGAATTTTTTTATAGTTAAATGTGATGTTTGTGAGAGAAAAATGAAATAATTATGAGTTTAATGTAATTTTTTGTCTTGTTAACTATTTTAACATATTTTTTCTTTTTGTAAATTTTAACTTAAAAAGTCCAAAAAATTATTTCCCAAACACTCATAATATGATAAATAAGTGAGTGACAATGAATATTGAGTATAATATTTTAATATTTTAACCTAATTATGTTGAAAAAATATATTCTATATTACATATATAAATATATTTAAAACGGCACGGAAAACAAAATTCGTTCTTACCTCACTTCCTCATCGTCAGGGTGGAAAAAACCCACACGACGCATGGCAACAGCGGCAACGGAGCAGGGGGAGAAAAAATGCCATCCCTATTCGTAACACTTATCCATTCTATAATCCCTAGTATTATTATTATGTTTTCCATTTGAAAATTGATTCATCATGATGATCAATTAATAGACTCACAAGATGGTTGAATTCAGGTGACAAATAAACTGTCAAGACTCCAAATGAGAAAAAAAATCAAGTACATATTTCCGGGCCATGAATAAGATAATGTGTGATAAAATTAAAAATTAAGCATCAAAAATAAAATATTAAATTTTTTAAATTAAAAATTATTTGATCAAAATTTAAGGGTTTGTATGTCTGCCCGCACGAGTGGAGAGATTAGAGTATGAATGAGGTGGCCCCATTTGTGTCATGTTGGGGGGGGGTTAGTATTCTCTTGGTGTAGAAATCCTACATTATGGGTAAAAACTATTTTATTCCTTAGTCTATACGGTTACAATAATGAAAGAAGGTTAATTATGAAATTTCATTGATTTAATTCTCATCAACTAATACCACTACAATACTATACAAACAAATACATTTTATCTTATATTTTCAACTTAATACTACCATATTACTAATTTCCTCATTCAATCCTAATGTACTTACTCATAATCTCATCCAACTCAATCTGTCAAACAAACGTAGTCTAAGTGCTCAACTAAAATAGGTTGTTTGATATGCACAAGGTCAAGTTTAAAATTTATTTTCAAATTCTTTCTTTTTAAGTTTAATATTGTGGAGGTGAAAGTGGAGCTAGAACTGAACCTGGAGGCTGTGGCGATGGCATCAATGGTGGTGGAGGTAGAGAGATAGTGGCTGTGGTGATGGTGAAATGCCAATGTACTGGAGGTAAAAGTAGTTGACGGCGATAGAGTAATGACAATGGTGATTGTGGTAGTTGAATAATGATAACAATTATGGCAACTGTGATAAAGAATGTGAAGTTAAAGCGTTACAGTAATTGTTGTAGTGGTGGTGGAGAAGTGGTTGTACTAGTAGTAGAAATAATGGGTGGTGGTGTAGAACTAGCAATGAAATGACAATAGTTCTTATGGCAATGAGAACAATAGTATTGAGGTTGTGGTAGTGGTGGCAGTGGTGATTGCGACAACAATAGTAGGATAATTGTGGTAGTGGTGGTGATGGTGGCGGCGGTGGTGGCAAATGAGGTTATAGTGGTGCATGACATTTATGCATAAGTATTTATCAATTCAATTAAAATTAAATAGGTTTTGTATCATTTAAAATTTTCATAACTTTTAGTCTATTTATGAAGTGTTTTTGAGTTTCCTTATTGCGTCCTACGAACAAAAATGTTGTCCATCTACAGAAATTCGACATTTGATTTTGTGATTAGATTTTTTATTTATGTTTATAGCAAATTTGCTTGATGCAATGAGCATCACTAACTGAACTAAGTGATGCAGGAAATGTTTATAGCCGGCACAGAAACAACTAGCAGCACCATTGAATGTGCAATGGCAGAGCTTCTACGCAACCCAGAAATCATGATCAAGGCTAAAGTCGAGCTCAATAATGTCGTTGGACAAAACAAGAAAATGCAAGAGAGCGACATCGATCATCTGCAATACTTGCAAGCAGTGGTGAAAGAAACGCTACGTTTACACCCTCCTGCTCCATCTCTAATCCCTCGAAAGGCCATTCACGATACAAATTTTATGGGTTATCACATACCCAAAAACACACAAGTTGTGATCAACGCTTGGGCAATTGGAAGAGACCCAAATTATTGGGATGAGCCTATGTCTTTCAAGCCTGAGAGATTCATAGGCTCGAAAATTGATTATAAGGGTCAACATTATGAGTTTTTACCATTTGGAGCTGGCCGACGAATGTGTATAGGTGTTCCATTAGGTCACCGAATGTTGCATCTTCTTTTGGGCTCGTTGCTTCATGAATTTGATTGGGAGCTTGAATGTCGTGTTAATGGAGAGACCATGGACATGAGAGATAGGATTGAACCAGTACTAGCAAAATTGCAATCATTAGAAGTGGTACCTAAAAGGTGTAGGAAAATTGACTAGTCTGGCCGAGAAAAAATTATCTTATTAGTCTCACATATATAATATACTTCTTGTGATTTTTAATAATGGAAGGTTACATGAACTTCCCCTGGTTGGTAGTCCTTGTGCTTCATTAAAAATTCAGACATTCGACGTTCCACACTTTTTCGAGTCTTTTTCTTTGTATTTGTTTTGGGTTTTTTCTCATGGGCTTGTTAAGTCTCTTGTTATGTTATATGTTAATGGTACTTATGTATTGTTGGACTTATATAATAAAATAATATTCTGTCCACATTCGTGTAACTTTCATCATATTTGTAAATTATCTATGAGGCTGAGGCATCATGAACAATATTTTCAAATGAAAATTAAACTGCATGTCAAACAAATTCTTTGATGAAAATAGAATTCTTGTTTGAAGAGTTCCAATTGTTGTGCATTACATGCACTTATTTTCAAAGATTTTCCATGTACCATAAACAGTTGAATTCCTAGAAGTATAATTGAATTCATTCTGGTCGCAAATGTCGTGTGTTATAAAATGAACAGAATTTAAATCCCTCTCAAGATCTGTTTCTGCTTAAATTACTATCAACTTCAACAACACTTTGAAAAATTAACTAGAAAGTTATATCAATGGACGACATTAATTATGGAATGGTCATTAATTTTAAATTTACACGGTATACTTTACTTCCCGGATAATTCCAAATTTTTTTGAAAAAACTATTAAACAGTTGGACAAAAAAAATGAAATTACAAAACATGATTGCACCCTCACAATGCTTGAGTTGCACCCTAGCACAAGAAAAATTGCATCCTCCATGTTTTGTTAATTTTCTTTTATTCTACACTCTGAATTATAATTTTTCCAAAAAATTTCACCAACACGCATCATCAAGAGATCAACCATTATCGATTGGTGAATAGTTTAATGTCTCATTGTCTCTGAGATCATATAGGTACATCGCAAGACTATCTTCAATTTTAATATCAACAATGATTTAGACCACTAAAAAATACATCACTAATAGCACTAATATATTAGGAATGGCAAAAAAAATAATAAAATAATAAAAACAAGGCATAGAAAGTGGGCGGGGCTCACTACCACATCATTAGTGCTCCCTCTAATGATCTCTTTTTAGTGCTCTCAAGCATTTTTCTTTTAATATATATATATATATATATATGAGAAACAATTATACACATTGTTTCTGTAATTTACCTTTTATGTTAATTTTATTTTTGCCATTTCAATTTTATCAATTTTGTCTTTTAAACTTTTATATACTTTGTCAATTTAGTCCAATAATAACATTCATTAATAAATTTGACAGAAATTAAGGCAAAAATGGTCCATTTAAAAGGAAATAGATCATTTCAAAATAAACGTCAACCCCTCAATCACTTTAAGGATCATAAATGAACTATTTTGATTTTTAATTTTAGTCTAGACATGTTATCAATTAGACTAAATTGACACAATATAAAAATTTTAAGAGTAAAATATTATACTAAATTGGCACAATACAAAAATTTTAACAGTAAAAACGGTGCAATTAAAATTTTGAGAATCAAATTGACAAAAAAAATAAAATATAGAGACTACAAATATAATTTAGCCTATAAATAATGTCAAAGACAAAAATTAAATTAAAGAACCAAAGACACATTTTCAAATTATGTTAGAGATTTTTTTTGTTTTTGTTTTTAGTGCCACAATTTTTCTTCGGACAAATTACACTCTTAGTTCTTGTACTTGTCTGTTGCGTCATTTTGGCATCCACAGGTCTAATTGATTCTAAAATTTAAAATTTATGTCAATTTAGTTTAATCTGTTAGGTTCTTTTATTGTCAAATCCTCGTATAAACTTTATTTTGAAAGAGTTGTAATTTTTTCTTGTATTTTGTCTTTCCAGCTCGAGCGGGACCATTGGTGCTCGAGCGTAATATGGGATGTCTCAGTAGTTGGTCATGTCTGTAAACATACTGAGAAGAGTGATTTCGCGCTCGAGCGTGTGTTCTAGCGCTCGAGCGGAAACTTGTTTTGTCACACACGTAGTTTACTGAAGTCGCTCGAGCGGGCTGTCCTGCGCTCGAGCGGAGATCGCAAACTCTATTTTTCTATATATATCTGTTTAGGCTGATTTTAGGGTTCACTTTTCCTAAATCTTGTTTAAGAGTCTTAGGGTTTTGTTTGAGGTTTTCTTCTGAAAGACTTGTTGAGTTTTCCTTGATGATTTGAGAGAGTTCTAAACTTATGATCAAAGATACATACATCAAGGAGTTTGTTACTTTATATTCAAGAGTGTTGTCTTCAGTGGATTCTGAAGATTCAAACATGGAGTTTCAAAGGAGTTTAATTCTGTACGTGGTCGTTGATTCGACAAGCGAAGTTATAGATTCAACTTCAGAGTAATTAGTTCCGAGACGAAGGCTTGGTGAAAGAGTTACAGAAGGTTTGAAGACAAATTGACTGAGTTGGGTAATTTGTGTGTTATCTTTGTAATCTTTCTTTCTTCAGTAGTGGATTGATTAGTGGCGTTTCGCCTGTGATTTTTTATTACAATTGAAGGTTCTTCAATTGTGGTTTTTTCACGTTAAAATCGTTTGTGTCGATTTATTGTCTATTCTGAAAACAACAATCTAAATCACTTTCGTAAGTGCTTGATGATTTAGATTGTGTGTTTTGAATAATTGGGAATTGAAATATTTTAATCTTGATCAAATCACGAATCACTTAGGATTTTCAATTGGAATCAGAGCAGGTTACTCTTTGTTTTTATCAAAACTATAAGAGTGTGATTTTGTGTGACTAGTAATATGGATTTTATTCGTGAAGGTAACTCGACCCATAGACCTCCTTTACTCGATGGTACAAACTATTCTTATTGGAAAGCTCGTATGAGAGTGTTTTTAAAATCCATCGATGAGAAAGTTTGGCACTGCGTGATCTATGGATGGAGTGAACCTATTGTCACCATTGATGGTGTTGATATTCCTAAACCCCTTGATAAATGGGACACAACTGATTACCAAAATCACTTTTAACAGTAAGACTCTCAATTCCCTGTTTTGCTCCGTCACACCTGAAGAGTTTCGTCGTATCTGCACGTGCGAGGTAGCAAAAGAGGCTTGGGACATTCTTGAAACGATTCACGAAGGTACTACTTCTGTCAAAAGGTCAAAACTTCAACGTCTCACCTCCGCCTTTGAAACCCTTTTTATGCATGATGATGAGACGTTTGATGATTTCTATGCAAAACTTAGTGATATCGTGAATTCCTGTTTCACACTAGGTAAAAAAATCCCTGAAGCTAAAGTTGTTGGAAAAATTTTGAGGTCTTTACCCGAGAGGTTCCAATCAAAAGTGACAGCCATTGAGGAGGCTCAGAATGTTGATACCCTCAAGCTTGATCAGTTAGTTGGAAACCTACAGACTTATGAAGCCCACCAGATTTCAAAGAAAAAATAAAAAGATAGTGTAGCTTTCACTAGTGCTCATGAGACTGCAAAAACTCCGGAGACTGAATTTGATTTAGAGTTTGAGATGACGGCTATGTTTACTAAACAGTTTAAAAAAAATTTGAAGAAAAAGAAGCCTAATTTCAGAGACCCTATTTCAAAAGACAAGAGTAATGAAAAACCCAAAACTTTTTCACCAAAACTTGCTCCAAAAACTGAAAAGAAGATTGTAAAGAGGCAAGGGGTCAAGTGCTATGAATGTCAAGGGTTTGGTCATATTGCCCTTGAATGCCCTTCGAAAAAGAATTGAAAGAAAGTCTACACTGTGACTTGGGATGATGAAAGCGGGTCGGAGCAAGAACCCGAAGAACCTAAATCCGATGAAGACGGGGATAGTGTTTTCATGGCATTTTGGTCCACTTTCACTCAACCTCTTCCAAACCCAGCGGAATTAGCTCTTGGTCAGAACCTGCATCATGCTCCCACCTTTGATGAGAGTAACTACCTGTATTAGAAGATCAGAATGATGGCGTTTTTGAGAGCTTTTGACCCAAAAGGCTGGCAAGCTATTGAAGAAGATACAGAAAGTGCTGACAATCCGAGCAATCAGAGAGCCCTGATTACTATTCGTTGAGCAATTTCTGATGAAAAACAGTAACGGGTTGCTCATTGCACAAAGGCTAAAGATGCATGGAAAATTCTGAGCCAATTTCATGAAAGAGGAGTTTCACCTTCACCACCATCACTTTCACCACCATCCAGCAACTTTCCTACCTTAGTTGCTAGATTGGATGAGGTCAAGGAGAATGAAGAGCAAAAAAAGGATGATGAAACATCTGAAGACAATGATGAGATTAATGGTGATGAACTACAACAAGCTTACGAAAAGCTTTACGAGGAATCTCTGAATTTGTCCAAAATCAATGACAAACTCTCTCTCAAGCTCAAAGGAGAACTTGTAGCAGCAAAACAGAATGTCATCAAGATCTCAAGTGATAGGCATGACTTATGTGGAAAACTTCTATCCTGTGAAACTGAAAGGAATGAACTTCTGAAAGTGTATTCCACATATGAAGAGAAGCTTGAAAGCCTTGAGACGTCACAAGCTACATTGGAAGAGATAGTCTGTCAGAAAGATGAAGAACTTCGTATTGCTAGAGCCACAATTGCCGTGTGGAACAAAGGTTCCAAATCTCTAGAAGACATCCTCGGGTCTTAACAAATGGGTTGTGACAAAAGTGGGCTAGGCTATGGTGCGATAGCTCACAAGGGACGTGCCTCTACTTCACATGACCTAAAGACTCAAGCAAGGGAAAGTTGAAGGTAGACCAAGGTGATCCCTCTCTTCATCTACCTAAAGTTGGTAAGATCAACAAAAGGGAGGTAAAACCTGTTTTTATTTGTCATCATTGTGGCAGGTATGGCCACATTCGTCCTTATTGCTTTGAATTGTTTGGTAAGGTGTCTCAAAAGGGTAGAACTTCGAATACTTTTTGGGTTAGGAGACAACCTTACATGTCTAGGCGGAATACCAAGATTCATGAGGGTGTTCA